CCGGCCCAGCCCGATCAAGTTCTTGCCCCGGTTCACCTACAGACGAGGCAGTCGTGAGCCCAGCACCAGCTAGCCCAAAGCGCGGCGCGTGCGACTCCCTCTTACCTTGGATGTGGCGTTTAAGTGCATGTGGAAATGGCCCGCGTGGACGTCTTCGGCGGCGACGTACACCGTGATTGCAATGAATCCATGATATCCCAATAGCGTCTCGGTGCGACCGATTTCTCGACCGTACTCGACAAACTCTTTGCCGTTGACGCGTTGGAGGTGGCTGACCACGGCATGGCGCAGGCCGCGAAGGTCCAGACATTCTTGGACGCCGATCACGTAAATGTCGTGGCCGGTGGGAATCCACATTTCAAGTTGGTCGTCCGGGGGAACCGGACCTTCTGCCATGTTGAACGTCGTGGCAAAGATCCGACTCACGTTGGCGGCATGCGTTGCGTAGCTCGCGGATGCGCAGGACCGGGCATCTTCTAAAAACACACTGGACGCGCCATGGTCGAAGGCCGACTCCTCGCCAAACTGGACCGATAGCGCTTTCTGTCGATGGGGCGCTGTGCATCGATGATAGATGATGGCTATCACAAAGCCTGGAATCACGGTTAGCCAGGTCCACAGACGACGGACGAGACCTTGCAAGTTCACCAGCACTTCGGACGCCACGGCCAAAACCTGCATGAATGTGCTGTGTTCGCTCGACACGGTCGGCGACGACGTTGTTGGATTTCGAGTTGACCCGGAGCCCTTTGTTCCTCGACCGGGATGGCCGCCGTAGGTGTCATCGTCGTCGAGCGCGGCTTCGAGGACTACGGGACACGTTAGCGTCCGTCTTCAGGTACGGAAAACACCATACAGCGGTACACGGTGGGCAGTGTGTAGAGGCAAACGAAACCCATGACGTAATAGAGCAGCATCCGTTGAATTTTGGTCGCAACGGGGTCCGCCACCGACGGAATCGCCGACAACCTAATCGGGAGAGATGGGTGTGTCCGTGTTCGAGGGAAGAGGCGAATACCCACCGTCGCGCGCGGTACGCGACAACTTTGCGCACTTTGATCACGACCGCCACCATGAAGAGCAGCGTCAGCACGACAAACGGGACGAAGCGGTAGAGGATATACACGGGGAACTTCATCCAGCAGTAGAAGCGAGAAAACCCAAAGAGCGACGACTGTGGCGTGAAGTTCTGGTACGACCAGATCGGCAGCGCGCCGGTGAGCCCCCACGCGACGCAAAAGAGGGACGTGCCGAAGAAGTAGACCCAAAAGCGGGATTGCAGCTTTTCTTCCGAGTCGCGGTACACCACCCACCGAAGTAGGTTGTACGCGATGCAAGCATTCCACAGGACCGCTGCACACTCAACATGAGATCGAGCGAACTGGACATGGAGCAACGACGAACCTTGGAGCATGCCGACGTCCAGAAGGTACGCTTGAACTTGGCAGAGCACATTAAAGCTCGACGGTGTGCCGTTCGCAGTGGAATTCACGCGATAGTATGAAGTGTTCGTGGAGCTGCTGTTGCCCCCTGTCGCGTCTTTCTCTAACGAAGCAAAATCGAGGGCAGGAAGTTTCGCAATACACACGACGAGCTCGATGGCGGCGAGGGTCGCCACGAGGAGAAGCGAGACATCACGTTTGTCGGACCGACAAACTGCGACGCGGAAGAGGATATAGAGGCAGCCGAGGATCGACAGAATGCTGCAAAACACAAGTAATGGGTGTGTTGGCATGGCATGACACGATGAGGTTCTGTGAGAGTAGGTACCTCGTGCTTCTGACGGACCAGTCGATCGCCAAGCGCTCATCCTCGCCGACACCATAGCGTTGTTGCCAGCCACCACCAGTACCGCCGCCATTGCCACCACCAGTGCCGCCACCTCTCCCACCGCCAGTGCCGCCGCCAGTGCCGCTCATCTTCTTGAGTGATGGAGGAAATCGTCTGACTCAAAGAGTGATGCTGCCATCGGTTCAGCAGCGCGCACTTGCCTCAATCTAGCAGTGGGAAATACACCAGGACAGGGTGTTTTTCCCATAGAATGCTCCAATCGGGCAGTGGAATGGCCACGGGACATGGGAAATACACGGTTGAAGAACAGAATTCGTTACACCCTTGCGGTCGTACCACGCCATCGACTACCGCGGCTTTCTCTCGGCGCGGGTTTCGCCTGCGCTCGGCGCGCTCCTTCGCGAGTATGGGTGGATAGCATCCGGCACTACGTTTTGACACTCATCAGAAGTTATATGCAGGTCCAACTTGCCTCTGGATGCAAGCCAGCCTGGCGTCGGCAAACGCCACCACACGTAGGACTGAACGGCCTCTCCAACCGATTCTGCTGGGGGCGGCCGCGAAGCCACTTCACCCATGCCATGCTGACTTCAGTGTGTGCGTCAATGAGGTATGCATGTACTCCGCTCTTCAAGCACCCGTCGGCGCATGTCGATGCTTCTCGTTGGACGCGGTAAAGGATCTGTCGAGGGCAGGGGCACAACGGTGGCTATTGGACGGCTATCCTCTACGGTCCCGACACCCAAACTCTTCCGCAACCCCAGCGCCGCCTGCCCATTAACCACGAACGTGGCAACGTCACCAAGCACGAAGCATACTTTGCAGACGGCTACAACGTTACACTCTACTTCGGATGGGGCATAAATCCCATGGCTACCGCGATTGTATACACAAGCGAGCTTTTCCGACTAACTCGCCAGTCCGTCGACCTCCTATCGTGAGCGCCGCGACAAAGTCGACGTAACGACCATTGCGGTAGCTGGCTTCGGTCAAGCTAATGACGCACTGTCCGGCAGTCGCGCCGGACGGCAAGACAAAGTTGAGAGCGACGTGCAGCACCTTTCGGGGCACGAGCACGACCGACTGCTTGAGGCCGTACTCGGCCACCAAGGACCACGCTGTGACCTTGGTTGTGGACCTGAACTTGCGGTGCTTGTTGGTCTGGAACACGAGTTGATCGGCGAGTTCCCCCAGCTTGCGCTCCTCGGCAAACTCGTCCTCGCACGGCAGAGGAAACACACTCCGGACATGCAGCCCATCTACGTCGCGTTGTTCATTCAATCGGTTCCAAAGGGAACGACGAGGTTGCGTTACCGATCGAGGTGCCGGAAATCATGGTGTCCGTCGCCGACGTGGACAAACCCGAAGCATCGCTGGACGCGTTCAGCCTGGAAGGAGCGCCTCGAGGCGTCGAGCAAACGTCACTCGCTTCGCCATCGGACCCAATGAACTTTTCCAGGGCGGATCCCAAGTGAAGACTCATGTTGGACAGATACACCGTCGCATGGGTTGTTGTCGAACTGTCCACACTGGTGCAGCTCGTGGCGACGTCTGCCGGCAAGGCATGGCGCGGGGACTGGGACTTCTTGTCCACATACACCTGGAATGCGCACGACACGGGCTTGTGATCGGACGTCCCAATAAACTCGGCGCTGCTGTAGTAGATGCATGCAAGGCGGTCCTGCAAGCACGACGAGTTAGTCTCCCATGACGGACAAGCTCCGTCGTACGCGCAAGCCAGGCAACGAGTGAAACAAGATGCGATCTGTGTAGGACGGCACGCGAATCTTTCCTTCGCCCAAGTCGGTCGTATACAGGTTGTTAGCGAGGTGGGCCGGCGACAGGGGCGCGCGGACGTCCAAGTGTTGGCCGACTACGCGGCGATACGTTGGCGGAAACGCAATCATGGCCTCGTCAAAGTCGTGGAAGATCTGCCCGTCGTCCATGCTCAACTTGAGCTCGTCGTGTTCCATGAGGGATCGCCATGACACTTCGTTGACATTCGGGATGGAGGACGTGCTGGACGAGTGTGGGGACATCGCAACGACGTGGTTGGCCTGGTGCAGACGTTGGAGATTTGGTGCGGCTTCAAGAGCCGATGGGGATTGCGTCAAAATGTATGCATCGTCAAAGTCGCCGGCGATGGGGGCCGGGGATCCTTCAAATACAATACATGACCAACGAATGAAGGCAAGATTTGCTGTCGAGTGGGGCAGCCTGTGTACCTGATGAGAGCACCGCATGGCTCGAAAACGCGTCGCCTCGAGAGAACGCGTTCGACTGGACGTTGTTTACGACGGACGCAATCAAGTTGAGGATGTGGTCGGGCGTCGCGTCGAGCGCCGTGAGGCGGTAGTTGAGGTCGCCCATGAAGATGGTGTGGTGCGCCATCAGGTGGCAGTCGAACTCGTTGTCGATCGACTGGAGGTGCATGTTGGTCAAGATGTTGGACCCGTCTTGGTGGCGCTTTTTGATTTTGCTCTTGCCCTGCACACACACAATCGTTCAATTCCACGCGACGCACCGAGGCCGCGCCTTGGCCACACACACACTCGACGTACCGTCGAATCGGACGCCAAGTGGCACGTGAGCACGGCAAACGTGAGGTTGTGGTAGCGGAAAGCAAACCCGACCGCGCCTTTGTTGGACGCCCGGCCCAGCCCGATCAAGTTGACTCCACGGTTGACCTACCAGGTCCATCACGCCTTCCTACCACAACGCATGATCGTTGTACCTTGGACGATCCCTCGAGATGCATGTAGAAATGGCCCGCGTGGACGTCGGCAGAAGCGACGTACACCGTGATCGCAATGAATCCATGGAACCCGAGCACCTTTTCTGTTCGTCCAATTTCACGGCCGTACTCGATAAAGGGCTTGCCATTGATGCGCTGGATGTGCGCGGCCATGGCTTTGCGCATGCTCCGCAGGTCGAGACATTCTTGAACCCCAATGACGTAGACGTCTTTGCCTTTTGGAATCCACTGGGAGAGTTGGTCGTTCGGTGGCACAGCTCCTTCCGCCATGTTGAACGTCGACGCAAAGATCGAGATGGAGTCACCGCCGTTTCCGCCAACGCCGTAGCCAGATGCATGGGACCGGGCGTCTTCCAAGTACACGCTCGGAGGAAGCGACGACGACATGGACTGTCGCCGCTGCGTGGTGGGCGCGAAAGTGAGGAACCCACCATAAATGATCGCATTGACAAAGCCTACACAATACGAATTGGGGTGAACGGCATGTAGCAAAAAACGGGGAGCTGCACCTTGGAGGTTCACCATAGCTTGAGCCACGATTCCGAATTCAGGCATGATCCCTTCTGCAATCTTGTTTCGATTCCTGGCATCGTTGGTGCCGCTGCTTTGGACTGCCGCGATGACTACACACACACACAGAGGGTGACAGGGATGCCGGTGGGATGCTAAATACGCACTTCGAAATGCTGCGATGGGCGTGTACAGCACTAAGAATGAAAGGACGTACAACATGAGCCGTCGCTGGATCTGGTTGACGGCGTCGTCCGAGATGGCGGCGCCAGGGCGGGCTCTGCAGCATGGTGTCGCAGGTTTGTGCAAGGTATTCGTTGCACGTACCGCTTCGCGCGCGCAAGGATGACCCGGCGAACCTTGATCATGACGGCGGCGATGAAGAGCAACGTCGCCACCAAAAATGGGATGAACCGAATAACGATGTATCGCGTCTCTTGGATCCAGCAAAAGAACTTGGAATATCCGAAGAGCGTGTCAAGGCGTTGGTGCTTGTCGGGCCAGATCGGCAGAGCTGCGGAGAGCCCCCACAGCACCGTGAAGAGGGACGTGCTGAAAAAGATCTTCCAGAAACGACTCATCAATTTCTTCTCGCTGTCTCGGTAGACGACGACACGAAGCAGGTTGAACGCGATGCATCCATACCAAAGAACCGCTACATCGCTCGATCCGGTCAAGCCGTGCGGGCGTATGGCGAAAGCCTAGACTCTACCTTGGAGCATGAACACGTCCAACAAGTACGCTTGGATCTGGCACATTGGTCCACTTGAGTCGAGAAAGTAGCCCAGTGCGTCGCGGCCGCGCTTGAACTCGATGAAACTTAGCGCGGGAAACTTGGCAATCGCAATTATGAGTTCAAACGCCGCCAACGCAGTCACGAGGACGGTCGTCACGTCGCGCTCGGTCCTGGGTCGAACGGCGAATCGATACAAGATGAAGACGCACCCTATCGCCGACAGCACACTATAGACAGACACTCGATGAGAGAGATCCCACAAGCACGAGACAAACGCGCGCAACCTCGTGACTCGAATCGCCCACGTGATCCCAAGCCATTCGTCTTCTCCTATGTCTGCTTTGCGGGACCACTTCCCGTCTGGGGAACTCGTCATATTCGGCGGGCGCGACCACTTGGTGCTCATGCGGCGGCTCGATGATCGCGTGCGCTTTTGATGTGTGCTCTATGATCAGTCTGGTCGGGCTCACAATGCACGCGATGGGATTTACCTACGCCGAATTCAGGATGCTGGTGTATTTCCCCAAATACTGCGAAACTTTCTGTGAAACATTCACATTCATCCCAGAATCCGCCCAAGAGGGAAGAGTTTGTCCCAGCACTGGTGCACACATCCCCGTGGGATTCGCCATGGTGACAATTTTCCCAACATCTCACCAACGTGCACCCATTGCCTGTTCGACCTTTGGTGGACTGTCCGACCATAGCACACGCGCACGTCCACAAAGGTCCGCGGGACGAGGGATTCGTGCATACACGTTGCCGCGTATCGTGCGCGGATGCAGGAGACCCCACCACCACTTCGTCCATGCTAGAAGCAGAACAGAACTAGTGTACCCAACGACCACCTCGGTGCTGTCGCGCGACAACGCTCTTTTGACGAGGATAACTTGGAATTTGTATGGACGATCTGTTGAAGCGTCGGCCGAACAACTGAACCGAGTAGGACGTCGCTTTTGATTGGTGGAAATTTGAAACGTTTTGGCTGTATCAATTTATGGAGGATTTCATTTCACTTTAAAGATTGCGGTTTATAAAGGGATACAGTTTACTAGATTACAAAGTTCGCTGCCAGAATGGAGTTCTTCGGTCGGCAAGGGTACGGCCGCGGCCAGGATGCTGCGCGCTCCCTCGTTGAAGGTGCTGTGATCGTGACGGTATGCATGCAACCATGGATAGGTGAAAATCCTGTGGCCTCATGCTGTGGATGATGTATGTGAACAGCCTGGTGTCTCGTTTGCAAATGTTGGCCAGTTGACGGTGGATCTACTGGTCAACTCATTGCTTGTCCAAGAGGTGAATCACGACAAATACCCTTGTCAGTGTTCCTGATGTCGGTCACATAGGTCGAAATGAAGCTGGTAGGGCACTTGTACTCCAAGCATGTTCCCCCGATGGCGGGATCGTCGGCGTTTGCTACACAATCGTCGTCTGGGCTGTGCTTGAACCTCGAGGTGGCGACTTCTCCTTCTTTCCATCTCCAAATCTCACCGCCCATCGGCTATTGCAGGTGTACGTCCTCTCGATTCCATCAAACGACCATCTCGAAGACGCACCCAAGGTTGTGTTTGTGCAGCAGCGAACGTCCGTCATTCAGGTCCGTTGCCTCTGGTCTTCGCGACGCAACGGGCACATGATGATGCATCATATACCAGGGCGAAATCCAGGCGTTCTGCGACGAGTTTGCCGCGTGGGCATCTGCCTGCCACGCCGCTCAAGTCATCGTCCTGTCGGGTGTGGACAACATGCTTCGACATGACGTCAACATGCACGAGTACGCTATCAACTTGGACGCATCAGTTGGATGAATAACCTCTCGCACCAGGCGCCGCATTCAGTGGTTTTCCACCGACAAGCTGCCTGTATTGAACGAACCGTTCTTGCATCAATTCCCTCCGTTGACTGTGGACGAAGGCGACTCCCTCGTTGACAAGCAAGACGTGTGGTCGAGCGTTCGCGGTGCTGGACTCGCCCCCAAGCTGATCACGTCGAGCGCCGCCCACTCGATCCCTGCGCTAGCGGTGCTTCTCCACTGCGCCGAAGGCAACAACGTCCCTGACGCCATCCATTTGGCCAGTTGCATTGTGCAATACCTCGGCCTCCACAACCAGATCAAGTCGTTTCGGTTGGTCCTGCCTCCATCATGGGCACAACTGTACGGCCGCGACCCAGCGATTGCGTTGTACGCCTAAGTACTTCGACAGCGTCAGGAATTCCATCCACGGACGGCGACGACTCCATCGCCGGCAGATCCCGTCATCGTCGATGGAACGTGTCAGCGTTTCTCGATCGAGTCCACTCGTAGTGCCTGCACAGTTCCACGATCCTTAAAGTCGCCAAAACGATTCATGTATACATGCATTCCATTTATCACTCAAGAGGCGACTGGCGCCATGACGTCGCGGACTACGCCGCCTTGTCTGATCGCTTTTTGCACCAGTAGCGGAAGACGCAAATGAGGAGAATGACGGCAGCCGCGCCTCCTCCCGCCGCCGCGGCAATCACGGTCGTGGTGTCCGCCGGTTTCGCTGCAAGTCAAAACAACGTCATGCAAGTGCGGAAGCGGCGTAGCAAGGTGTAGCTTACGTGTAGGTGCAGGCGTAGTCGTTGGGGCGGCAGTCGTCGTGGGTGCCACCACTGTGACGCTGGTCTTGACCGACTTGACCTGAATGGCCGAAGCATCTGCGATCACTCCAGCCGAGACGAGAGCTGTAGCCAGCGACGAGGACGAGCTGCCAGTCCCACTTTGAGCTACAGGGGCGGTAGATAAGCGACCGCCTCAAGTGGCACGAGCGGAGCCGTACCTTGCATGGACGCCGTGGTCGTTTTGAGGGCTTCGGGGGACGATACGAAGATGGAAAACTCGATTTCGAGGTGGGTGCCCGCCAACTGCCGAACGCCGTGAAGAACTTTGGCTCGCCCGTCAGCAGTGATCGCCGCTTGCTCCAAACGTCGACGGGCGTCGGGGACATCGGTCACCTTTGTGATGGAAATCTTGTCGGCGGTGACACCAGCGATCGAGCTCGCAATCGCTTGCTTGAACTTGTCCTGGACGGCGGTGGAGAACTGTGCGGCTGTCACGCCCTTGAGAGCGATGGAAGCCACGACGGCCATGACAGTGTTCGACGACGTGTCTCCTTTGACGGGGTACGGCTTGGGACTGCATTCGAGCACACAGGACACCGCCTGTGCCACGAGACCCTTGCATTGGTTCACAATCAAGTCAAACTCGGAGCTGCAACTCGACTGGATGCACAGGAGCTGGCCAGGCAAGCACGCGCAGCTGTCGAACGTTGCCATGCACGTGTCAAAATCGGCTTTGCATTTGGACGCGGCACACGTCGACGCAATCGTGGGAAGTGGCGGGGCGGGGGTCAGCGGAGGGGCAGGGGCAAACGTGGCTGGTTTCGCCGTTGTCGTCGACGGCTGCGCTTCCTTCCCTGTAGGGCGGGCGGTCCCCGTTGCTGCTGGTGTCAGACCCTTGGGCAACACGATCGTCTTGGTCTGGGTGACTTTGGGCTGGGAGCAGTCGTCGCCCTTAAAGTTGATCGAGCACGTGCATGTGGCATTCTACCGCAGCGCGGTCACCACGACGCACGAGATTTGCATCGCCCACGTACAGAATTGCACACGCCGTTGCCGCTACACTTTTTCCCGTTCGCGACCGGGCAGTCGTATTCGCTGCAGTCGGCGCCCGTGAATCCTTTTTGGCACGTGCACACGTTGTTGGTGCACGTGCCTTGGGACGAGCACTGGTTAATACACCCTATTTCGCACGTCTCGCCCGAGTACCTACGCACCACACGACCGAGTCAGCGGTTGACCAGGATATCGACTTGCGTACCCGCAGTTGCACATGCATGACGTGGTGTTGGTGACGCCGCTGTAGACGCAAATGCTGTTCTCGGCCTTGCACGAGTTGGCGCACGTGATCGCGTTGAGCGCCGTGGACGCGAGCGCGAGCCGCGTGATGGGAAAGTAAATGCCGTTTTGCTTGGCCAAGAAGCACATCGATTGCGCGTTGAGCGACACGAACGACGTCAAGTACAGCGGCGTGAACGTCCCGTCCACGAGCACTGCGACGTCGTACACGGGGAATCGTTTGTCGACGACGCGAATATCCAACGACATCTCCAAACAAACGCTGATCGACGAAAACGACGACGTGGCCGACAGACCTACGGCAGCCACGGATGTCAACACGGCGGTCGGAGCAGGGGCAGGTTACCTTTGCCATCGCCCATGAGCTGTCCAACGACCACGCCCTTGGTGTTGCGCACCGCGAGCGGGTTGCGCTGCATGCGGTCGGTGGCAGAACAGAACGGCTCGTAGGCGTTGGCAAATGGCCCAGCCGAGTAGTACGTTGTCGTGATCGCAAGCTTGTCGTCCCCTGCAGCGGGGGCACCATCAGCCAAACGGCGGCGCCCAGACGTGCTGCAGTTCTTTTGCACAATGGCTTTGCTGCAGCCCGCCGCGACGGGAGTGGACGAGTCGCAGAACGCATCCGTGATACCTGCACCCATCCAATTTGAAAAAACATAGTAGCGTCGAGATCAATACCTTCGACGGAGCCGCTGATCTGGTCAAAGCACTTGGACGCGTTTGCGCGGGGCGACCCACCGCATGCGCATGCAATCACATCCAGGGACGACGTGAATGCGTTGTAGCTGCACCACGGCACTCGTGTAAGACGCCACAAGTAGGCTAAACACTCCAACGTACCTCAGCAACGTTTGCGTTTTCTTGGCATTCGCAAGCTTGCGCACCATGGGCAGCGCCAGTTGCTCTTGCACTTTGTAGTCGGCAATGGCGGGCTTCCACCTACAACGCGATCGTTCGTTGTGGACACTGCGCATGGCGTGAATCGATCGTACTGGTTGACCGAGATCAGCTGGGTGCCGTTCGCCATCCACTTGAGGTCCTGCACATACGGACGCGACCACACGCCGCCCCACCACGTGAAGTACGGCTTGCCGGTCCCGCCGCACTTGGCACACTCTTCCGCGTTCTTGTTGTTTTGGCCATAGTATCCCGGCTCGTCGCACCGCAGGAGCTGCGCAGTGTCCGTCAGTCGCCCGATCTCCATCGGCGAGCAGACACGTACCCCGAGACACTCTTCCTTTGTCTTGGCCTTGGTCAGCCACCCAGCGTCTGGATCAAAGTCGTAGCACGCTGTCTCGTTGTGAATGCCGTCGACGCGGCAACCCAAACTGTGCCACCTGCAGTCGTGGCATGTAAAGCCTGCCGTTCCCAGAGGATGGATGTAGTCGTCCGTACATGTTGTTTTTGCAGCCCTCTAGCGGCCGCTGGACCACGCACACCCCGTCGATGTATTGGCACGACGTGCAGTACGCATTCTTCCACTGCGACACGGACGAGTTGGTCGTCGAGTCGAACACGTCCTCTGTCCAGTACGCATAGCACTGGTCGCCGTACGTCCATCCGTCGTCGCTGCACTCTTGGCGCATGCTGTCCCAATCGTTGCATTCGCCTTGGGCCTCGCACGCTTCTTGGGTTTTGCACTGACCCCATCCCCATTGACACGTCATTTTCGAAATGTACGGGTCGCTCGAGTTGGCGCATTGCGTGCGGTTGTAGTCGCTGCACGCGACCCACGACGTCTCGGCATTCGCATCGCACGAAACTTTCGATGCGAACTGGGACACAGAGCACTACGCAAGTGGTGTCGTCGTCAGCGCCGAGTCCCGTCGCCCCGACCTAGAGCGCGTCAACCGCTCAACCGAGTACACGCACCGGCACATCCGAGTAACCCAGGTCTTGGCAGTATGTCGCGTTTGAGCTAAAGCAGCCGCCGCCGTCCTGCGCGTAGTACGGCCAGTTCCACGTCACGCACTGCTCGCACTGCTGGCTGCATTGATACTTTGGAGTTTCTTCGCATTGCTGGCGCGACCATCCGTCCCACCCGAGTCCGCCTTGGCAAATGCCTGCCACCCCACAAAACGTCAGCCACGGTCCACTCGGGTTTCACGCACCTTGGTCGCACTTGTCCTTGGTGTTGAACTGGCCCCCGTTGTACGCGATCGTCGACTTGACGTACACGCCGCTAAACTTGTCGGCGCAGTCGTCGGCGCTGATTTGCCACGTTTCAATGGCGCATGCGCCGGTCCCGTTTCCATACAGCGGCTTCCATCGGATCGACGAGTACGTGTCGCTCGTGCAATCGCTTTCGGTGGCACCGGGAATGTAGCAGCCCCTACCGCACTTCTGTCAGCCACGAGAGGGTGACAGAATCCAGGCACACGTACGCTTCGCACTGGTTGTCGCGGAATGAATACTTGGGCACGACCTCGCCCGGTCCGTATGCACGCGAATTGTTGGTCGGGTCTGGGCACACCGATGGACCTGGCGTGAAGCAGCTCCACGGGTCGTCCAGGTTGGCTTGAGTGCCATTCACGTGGCATCGATAGTCGCTCCAGTCCCACACGCCACCGGCACTCTCACAACTCTCCGTGCCCCACGCGTATAAGGTACACGTGGCCGGGCTTCCCTGCTTGTAGCACCACGACCCCCAGCACTGCGCGCAGAACGGTTCGTCGCCGACGTGGCGCTGGCATTCCTCCTACGACACGGTCAGGTGTGTGTGGTCCAGTCGCCACGTCTTGTACCTCCTGGTAGTACTGGCCTTGGTTGCACGTTTTGTACGACAGGCACGCGGTTTTGTTGGCAGAATTGTGGACCATTCCTTGGCACGACGCCGAGTCGAGCTTGCACTGCGTGCAGCTCTGCTGGAGTGCATTGCACTGTTCGTAGCACTCCGAGTTGTCCCAGCCCCAAAAGTCTTGCTGGCACTGATACATGGTTTTGCCCGTTTGGTAGTCGGCGTACGGGCGCAGTTTGCCAAAGCAGCATTGACCATTCGAATTGCCGTTGTAGTCGACTTGTGTCCACCACACTCCCTTGGCAGCGCGGCAGCACGTTTCGTCATTCACGCTCCACGAGTTGGGGCTGTTGGGAGGCGCGTACGAGCACATCGAGTTGGTCCCGGACACGTTGAAATACGCATCGGGGGGGCAGCACTGGCCATAGCTGTACGGGTTGTTCGGGTCTTTGAACCACGTGCCGTTGAGCGAGGCACAGCCCGACTCCGTGTACGGCGCTTGGCATTGCTGGTAGCACATGTTCACGTCCTTGCATGGCCCTCGTACATGGTCAAACGTGCATTGATACCCCCAGTCGTAGCACCCGCCGTCGGGGCGCTGGGACGTACACGTCATCGTGCCGTTGTACTGCGCACACGTGTCGTTGTTGCGGAAGTTGAGCCACGAGCCCCAGTACCCGTTCGAGCTTTGCTGGTTCGCGACGTTTTGGAGGTAGTACTGGTAGTCCCAGTCGTCGCAAATGTGGTCGCTCTGGCACGTCGTGTTCATTTTCCAAATCCATCCGTTGTACCCAATGTCCTGTTGCCATGCTTGTGGCCCCGAGCACGTCGGCTCGCTCATCATTTCGGTAAATTTGGCCTTCTTCTCGTCCGCAGTCGCGGTCACACTCAAGTCCCACTGGTCGTACAAGTAGCGCAAGAGCTCGCTGTCCATCGACTTTTGGTAGCACTCCAACGTGCACCCTTCCATGTCGTCCCATGGCACAGTGCACTTGCCGGACCCTTCCTTTGCCTAGAACGACGTGAGCCAAGGGTTGTTGTAAGAGGGAGATGAGCCGACGTACCCCTCGGTCGCGCTGGCATGTGCTTTGGCTGCACGCGGTGCAATCGCTGTCTTTCTTGCAGTCGACGGATCCGGCCTTTTGGATCTTGTTGCGGCACGTTTCCGACACTGTCGACATGGTCTTCCACGAGTCGTAGCCCGTGCTGCTGTCGAGGTCCGCGGAGCACGTGCCGGCTCGCTGTAGTGCTTTCATCGTGGACTGGACAACGTCGCGAACTTGCGCCCCGACGCCAGGGCAATACGTACTGATCTCCGAGTCGGCCGTGCTCACGACGACATCGATCTCGCCGTTGGGAATGTCCTGCGGCGCACAGCACAAATACTGCCGCATTTCCCAGTTGCAGCACGGATCCGCCTTCCACAGGGGGTTGCTACACAACCAGTCAGGGCCCGTCCATGCGTTTTGCGGAGTCGTACACTGTCCAGTACGACGTATCGTTGTAGTAGTTGTGCTTGCAGTAGTTGGGGACGTTCTTGAGGAACTTGGTTTGTTTGCCTTTCACGACGAGCTTCCAGAAGAGACTGACGGGGTCCGTGAACGCTTCGCTCGACGCTTCAATCGCGACTTTGACGGTGTTGCCGACGAGGTCTTCCCACGACTTGGCTTGGTCGATCGAGCTCGCGAGATCGACGACCTTGGCCGCCGCGTTGGCAAACTTTGCCTTGTTCACCGACAGCGTTCGCGTTGTCAACGGGACGCTGCGGCAATGGTCCACCTTGTACTCGCACTGTTCGTTTGCACATCCTTTCTGCGTTGTCCAACGTGAGCACGGGGTACGTTGGTCAAGGGAGCCTTGCCTGGTACAGTTGCTGGTCAAACTTGATAAAAGCCCGGCCGTCCACGATCGCCTGCTCAATGGTCGTGCAGCGAGGACTCGTTGCTTGGTCTTGCCACGGGATGCTCCACTACACGTCGTCATGAGCTCCACACACTGCCCAGGACGGATGATGATGTCGTACGTCGGAGCACATGCGTTGGACATTCTCCTGGATCTTGCCGTCGCCGTCGCGGTTGCTCGTGCTCAAGAGCACGCCAAAGTGGAGCGTCGCGTCCTGGTAGTCGCTGCCGCCGTCGATTTCCCACGCGTTGAACTTGGCAAACTCCTTCTTGCTCCAGTCGTTCCACGCGACGCCGTCGTACCGAAACTTCATCAGGATTGCTTTCATCGCCCACTTGGTCGGTTCCGACGTCGGCGGCAACGGAATCAAGTCGGTGCTGCCGTCGCCGCCGTAGTTCCAGCAATTCGGGTTGCCTCCGTACGGATCGATCGGGGCATCCGTTGGGATCTGTACGCATGGCGCCGTCAGCGCGCACGGTGGAGAACCACCCCATAGCCACGTACGGTCTTGTTTGGCATGTAGTACGTCAAGCGGGCAAGCTGGGGCTGGTTGAACGGAATCTGGCCATCTTTCTAGAGACGCCACGTGAGCACCCCTCCAAGAACAACCACACGTACCATATAGAACTCGGGAAACGCGTACTGGAAAAAGTCGGTGAGGCGGAGGTCCTTGAGCGAATACTGTGCGCGGTCAACAACCATGTCAGTGTGACGTCCGACTGCGGCGACGTACAAACATGTCGTTGCGGGACCCGTAGATTGTGTTCATGATGGCAGACACGGTCGCGTTGGCCGTGATCTTGTCCTTCCACGTCTTGGGGAGCGACGTGTAGGGGTTTTTGAACTTGAAGATGGGCGTGGCGTCCTCGGGCGACAGGAGGCCGTACGGGTCTTGGAACTTGCACGTGAGGATGGCAATCTAGCGCCACAGATCGGTGAGCACGACGTGGGGAGCGGTGGCTGGGAGGGATCGAGGCATGTCCACCTTGGCCGACGAAATAGCTTGGGCACCGATCTCAATGTTTTTGATCTGGTACTCGCACGACTGGGCGACTGTCGGCACCGTGTACTTGCGTGTGAGGTTCACGTATGGCTGGCACGCCGGGTCACTCGTGCCCTGGACGGTCAAGTTGGCGCAGAACGTGTTGGCGTAAATGTCGCAATCGATCGCGTCTTGGATGTTGTTGATCGACGAACAGCTCGGGTAATAGATTGGCGATGGAATCGTGACGTTGTCGACGACAAGGCGGTCGTTCGTGCAGAATTGGCCCGTCAGCGGTTGTCCGTTGGACCCGTATTGTACCCACGGCCGTGTGCACGCGATGCATGCCTTCCCTTGTTCCAAGCACGCAAACCGTGTCGGGTCCTCGGGTTGGCACGTGCTGCTGCAGCCGTCGCCATCCACTTTATTTCCATCGTCACAGCTACAAGTCGTCGCGTGAGAACAAGTCGAAGACAAAGTGCCACGTACGACTCGCCAAACGTGACAAACCCGTCGCCACACACAGACACGCCCATCGATCCTTCGTCTGGGCTGCACGCCTGACACGTCCATAAGAGATGTTGGTCCACCACTTCCATGTACCTGGTCCCATCCGACCCGGTTGCAGTACTGAATGGACGTGTTCAGGCATGAGGCTATGTTGTCGGCGAGGTTGGGCCACACTTGGTTGCATTGCTGCCAGAGGTCGCGCAGCGCCGTGTCGTTGCTAGGGTCGTACGGCGTCGGAGCGACAAGGTACTGAGCAACTTGCTGGCGCTGCCACTCTTGTGTCGGGTTGAACGCGCCATGGCTGAACTCGGCTTTCGCCAACGCAGCTACGACGCAAGACTGCTGTCAGACGACAATCGAAACGGCGTCGTACATTTGAACTGAGCGCACACGCCGTCTTCGCGTACACAGAACGGCGCAGCGGCCGCGGCCGTGCACGCGTTGTCTTGGCACGGGCAGTTGGGTTGCAAATAGCAGTTGAACGGACACGGCAGCGCACACGACTCATCCTCGGGATGGGCCGTGCAATACGACGCCAACTGCACCGGGCACGAGTTCGCGTCGGGAACGCCTTGGCTACCGCCGCCGCCGCCACCGTTGTTGTCGTTGAAACACTTGGTGCCCGCGCACATGACAAACGCTTTGAACGATTCGCACTTTGGCGACTTGGCGACACTGTCCAAGCACCGAGGTTCGGTACACGCCATCAAGTTTGCAAATTCCGACGCCCCGCACGTCGTGTCGGCAGTCGCGTTCACAGCTTCAGCCGTGCACACGTTTTCGACGCAATCGCCGAGTTTTTTCATGATGGTCGCAAAGTCCTCGCCTTGGTTTCCACCGGAGCTACTGCTACCGCTGCCGGAATACGACCCACTGCCAGGGGACCCCCCCGTTTGGTTGCCGTTGTAGCCAACTGTTTGGTTGCCATTGTAGCTAACGGTTTGGTTGCCATTGTCGCTAACTGTTTGGTTGCCGTCAGAGCTGGTGGACGAGTTGCTGCCAAAGCACTTTTCGTCCGCACACGAGACAAAATTGCCCCACGACACGCAGACGTTGGCATTGGCGACCAGCTTGTCCACGCACGGTTGGTCGGGGCATTGGTTCAACTTCTCCCAGGTTTGCTTGCCACAGACTTCGTCCGAACGGACGGCATCCCCCGACGGTTTACAGACACCGTCGGCGCACTCTTGAATGCGCTGGCGAATGGTGTCCACATCAGTAGCGGCAGCCGCGAGGCGACGTCTCGATGGGGCTTCGGTAGTGGGGGCTTGAGTTGTAGGAGCGAATGCTGTCGTCGTCGGAAACGCAGTCGTGCGAGGAGGTGGAGGGGTCACTAACTGGCAAGCACGGACCAACTACACGCAACGACATGTCAGGGATTTTCGAGCCCAACTTGAGGCGGTACAGACTTGCGCTTTACTGCAGTACGGGCCACGGCAGTTGTTTTTCCCAGACAAAAAGTTGGCCGTGATTTCTTGTGTCCACCACGAATCTTTACACGACGGATGGTCGCAAGTCGCCGACGTGTTAGCGAACGGGCACGGGGCAACCACCGAGCCAGGAGGGGCAGACCCGCGTTGAACAAACTGGGCGCACCCCCCCGCCGTACACGTGGGCGCCACGGTGTTGGCACATCCTGGAGACCTACAGCGACAATGCGTGACTGGAACGACGGCGTGGGGGCGTGCGAACCCTGGAAGGCAGCAGAATTGGTACACCGCGTTGATGCACTTCTTCGACTGCGTGTTCAACGCACACGCAATCTGCATGCGGGGATGCCCAGGGGGGAACGAGCGCGCCACTTGGGGCGTGTCAAACCTGCAGAGCAGATTAGCCCAAGGTGGAGGGGCCGACGCCGTACCCCAAGTACATGTCGTCGTTGCAGACCGTTGCGTTTTCACACTTTTGACCAGGACCAGCACACGACTGGCATGGCGTAAAGCCCCACGAACTGTCCGGGTTGGACAAGAATTGGTTGACGTTTTGATCACACGACGACCATGAACACATATCTACAGACGTGCGTCACCATCGACGTTGAGTGTCCATCGACCATACCGTTGGCTTGATATGGATCGGAGCTGGACTTGGTGGGCGGCTTGTGGGGCTGCACCAAGGAACCCGATCTCGCATCGTTCGCAATCGCTTGGGCAATCGCCAGAGGATCTGCAGCGTGTCAGTAAGCCACGAGAACTGACGGCAGGTACCGATATCCGCGGAGGTTGCCGATAAGACGGTCACCGCAGCGATCAACGTCGCGCGGAGAGCGGAGCCACGCAAGAGAGGTGGCCCACTCGTCGTCATCATTCACGTGTCGACTTGTTGGGCACTGCTCAAATGTCGAAGTGCCTCTTCGTACGATTCGAGAGGATCGAAAAACGAAGCTTAAGCCGAGGCGGTTACGACCACTACGTCGCCAGAGTGCACTGTCCACTGCGGCCAAGGTCGCGGCAAATGACTTTGTTCGGCGACGGAATCAACGACGGCATGAGGTTGCGGGCATCATCCAGTCCTCGTTGTATGTGTGGTCGTGCCGTCGCATCGGCATGCAATCGCCCGTTGGATTTCGTGGGCAGAGCAGAAAAAGGCGGGAATTCGTTTCAGAAGTTGCATGACCCTTCGGAGCGTAACGGGTGCCTCCTGACCGAGGCAACTCCTCGATCCACCAGCCGTTCATTCGGCCATGAATTCTGATGGGGGGCGTCGCCCCTTTCTTCGACTTCTTCCCACCCGGCGCATCCACCACAGATTGCGACTTGTGCTTTCGCACCACCTTCCTCGCTCATGCCGTCCCTACATCACGAGCGAACCGTGCGCTGAATTATTGCTTGACGTTATCACAAACTCGAAACGATCGCGAAAACGTTCCCGGGCTATCGCCGTATCTTATCGCTCTAATCAACATTCAGCCTGCGCCACGGGGTGTGAGGGTTACCATGGCGCATGCAATCCACGAAGTCGACGCGTTCGACGCGTATGAAGCTGCTGTCGCGCGGCGTCAAGATGCTGCGCGTCGACGAGTTGGTCGCCTTGGTAGGAAGCGACAGCATGCGCGAAAGGCTATGGAAGTTGCCGAAACTGCAGCTCAACTTGCTGCCACACTTGCCATGCGAGAGTTGGACGCAGAGTGCCAAGCAATGGAACGTGTTTGGCGGGCAAGCGATGCATTGAGAACATACGAGGCGGAGCAGAAGATTTACCAGCGAAGCGCAGCTCTTCGCAAAGTGGCAACGACAGCGCATTTGGGCGAGACCACACCGGGTTTGCGAGGGTACAAACGATGGAAAGAACTGGACAAGCGTGTGGAGAGCTTCCATCAACGCACGGAGCTGGCCAAGGCAGCCGCGGACCGCATCAACCAAGCGGCGAACGTTCATGCCGTGAAAAGGTGCAATCAGATGTGCCGAATGCAAGGAGAGTCACACCACAGGCTGAACTTCAGTCGTAGGACTCAAATTTCGCAAGCAAACCGAGTGTGGTGGGCTCACAAGTTGGAAGCAGCGGTAGCAGCTCAGAATTGCACGACCATAGTTCACATCCTGGAGAATGGTGGAGATCCAGACTTCGAGAGCTGGAACGGCATGACGCCACTGCTGTGTTGCATTATCCAACACCGCCACGACCTATTGCGGCGGTGTCTCGAACTTGGTGGCGATCCAAATGTCGAAACGCAGGACGGAAAGACTGCCCTTGTCGTTGCCATCGTAGCCGACGACCTGGCAGCCATTCAAATCTTGCTTGAACCCAAGTGGAAGTGCTCACCGTGGAACGAGTCAAAGCAAGGCGGGGTCACAGCGCTCTTGGTGGCGTGTGAAAAGGGGCGTCTGGCTGCTGTCCAAGTTCTGCTAGCTCAGCCAGGTAGTTCCAGTCAGGTATGCCGACGTGGCCATTGAGACGACGGCCGACCTTCTATGTCATAGATTCAAAAACGAAACAATGCTCATGGCCTCACGCCTCTCATGCAAGCTGCGAAAGGGAACCATCTCTCGGTCGCTCGGCTCTTGCTGCGACACAACGCCAACCCTTTCGTTCACGTACGACTGCACGCCACGACGAATTGTAGCCTCACGTTTGTAACCCCACGACAGTGCAAAGCCAACCGGTCGGCTGCGGACCATGCTCGGGCCTATGGTCATCTTCGAATGGAAAGGCTCGTCGCGCGAGGCAACGAGTTCAATTTGGATCCTTCCACTCCTCCGACATTTGAAGAGCGTAACGAAATCGCTGCGCTGGAGGCACTTTATCGAGACTTGGACAGGAATCTCAGCGATCGCTCCATGGACAAGGTTCTGGACGGACTGCACGATGAAGGGCTGATCAGCCCCAGCCACGAATCCCCTGTCGGGCACACGGCTTTTCTCCTCGCATGCGCCAACGGAGCTCTCAGCACGGTGCAGTTGCTCATGCAGCGCTGCCTCTGGACGCAGACGAATCGTGACGGCGTGACAGGACTCCTGGAAGCTGCCAGCCGTGGGCACTTTGACGTATTGCTGCATCTGGTTAGTCAGGGCGGGAACATGAACCACCGAGACTTTCAAGGGCGCGATGGGTTCTCACGCTTGCACGATGGAGGCCACCATGAGATGCTGCACTACTTTCTCCAGTACAAGGCATCGAACAACAAGGCAAGCGAACAGGCGTGGCTACCGTGGTGGCAATTGAATCCTACCCCTCGCGCAGGCCCCGCGTCGAGTCCATCGAAATCCCCTTCGAAACCATCGTTGCAGCCGCTGCCCGTTGCTTCGCCCGTGCATTCACGACCGATGTGCGCCCAATGCGTCGACCGCCACGCGGCGAAGCAATGTCGGTCCTGCGACATTCCGTTTTGCGACCAATGCTACTGGCGTTTTCACATGGACGCGCGTCGACGACATCACGAGTACGACATGTTATTCCCCACTGCTTGTGTCGTTCCCCCAAAGGAAGACCACTTTCGTGGCTGGCAAGAACTGCACGTTCTCTTGACACGCGAGCCCGCCAAGGCCATGAACCAAGAGCTCCAGGCGATTCGGAAGCAAGCCAATGCGACCCGTGATGAACGCCACATGGCTACAATCGAAGTGAAAGCGGCAGCGTCGGCACTGGCCATCGGTGATAACTCCGGCGAGAGGTTCGTCTCAACCAATCTATTGTAGGAGGCGCGGACGAAGCCGCCCTGCAGCTGGTGGCTGTGTATCGCGACTTGGGCAACTTTAGCCAAGCGATCGCGGGCTTGCGGGAAACAGAAGAGATGGCGACCCCTCGCCTGTCGTGGCAGATCCGACGGGCCACTGCGCAAGTGTATTTGGTACGAAAAACACGACTTCTGGGAGATCAACTCAAACGTGGTTGAAGGCGCAAGGCAAACCTGCGGACGCAGTGACGATGTACTTTGCAGCACTGACTGCTCGTCTCAACGATGTAGCGGTTGACCACCGCGATGTTCAAGACCTTCTCGACGAATTCTACTGTGCCATGGTGCGCACTCGAACCATGCATGTCCCCTAACTTGCGAGCCGCTTAGGACAATGCTGACATGCTGGACGACGCCGTGACCATGGCAAAGAGCGTCCGCGACCTTGCCGTCACAACATTACCTCGACGACATTCCTTTGTCTCGACAACAACAACAAGACTGGACAGCCTCACGCTACGCCGGGAGCAGCGCGCCATGTTGGCCGAGGACAAAGCGACCAGCACTGACCAAGACAGGTGTGGCCGTACAACATCCAAAGCGGAACATCACAAACTGTTGTCCAGGAGGACGTCGTTGGAGACTTGTGTTGCTCTGCTTCGCGACGCAAACATGGTCGACATCGTGACAGCGCTCGGCAAACAGCTCCATGTGTCCACAACGCTTGGGTTGTGGCGAGACATGCAAATGTTCAAACTCGTCGAGCGACGATCCGAAGCGGCCAAGTCGACAGCCGCTCGGATCGTGAGAGCGATGCCAGCAGTCCATTGCATCCCAGCATCCATGTCCTCCAAAGTGGCAGAAGCTTTGCAGAATGCTCAGTGGGCGAGTCCGCACGACATCGTTGCGACTTCCGAGCGCGTGGTGGTCGCCTCTCTGCACCAAACCATGTTCCTTCCTTTCATTCAATCTGGTGAAGGACAAAGGTACATGACAGCCGATCTATTGTCCTGCTGCAGAATCGCTGTCGTAGATGGCTTGGCAAGCAATCCCAGTCTCCATTTCCATCCAGTATCGACGGCTAGCACGCATGATATCATGACGCGTGCTCATGGTCTGTCGCGTGGTCGACGGTACTACAGCAATCCCACGCACCACACACGACGTGGTCACGCCATGGATTCAACTCTGCTCCTCGTCAAGGAGACCAACGTTGTTCTCGGCAACCTGGCTTGTCAAACATGCTTTCGTATGCGTGTTCTGTCCGGAGCCTGTGCGCACTGCATCGACCTCGTCGCCTCGGAGCTCGCATTCTTCGGACACGATGTCTTGATAGGTCATGCCTTTGTTCAAACCCCGCACTAGCATGACGAGTTCATTCCCGCAAATCGGTCCCCCATGACGTTTCAACTCCACGATGTCTCGACGCGAACGCATGAAGCGACCTGTCTTGTTCTCGCAACGTTTTCGTGCCGTGTGCCTACCTCCATCGACCCTTCCTTGTGCGTCATGAAAGGAAGACTGAGCCCATGGTGGAATATGGATATGAGTGTGCGAGCACGCTGAGCTTGTCGTTGTCGGCGGCGTTGCCAGAGACGAACGTTGCCATTGCCCGTCTTCACATCCACGACTACATTTGTATCGCGTTACCCGTTGAGAGCATTGTTCGCGAAGCCACGGTAGGAAGTACCATGAGAACAGGATTCCATGACATTCAATGTAGTTTGACCTGTGTGCCTACAACACTGCATGCTGAGCTGCAACAGCATCGATCTTTTCGTGGACGTGATGGAGCTCGCCGCAGATCTCGGCAACGTCGTCGTGCAAAGATTCCCTGTCGGCCTTGGACCCAACTTGCAGAAGAGCCACCGCGCCAAGGCGAGTATCAACGCCGTCGATGTCCTGACGGAGGCCGCTGATATTTTGGTGCATCTCGCGGCGGAGCCCGTCGATCTCGCGGCGGAGCCCGTTGATCTCGCGGCGGAGACCGTCGATCGCGTTTAATATCGCTTGAGTTGAGGCCATGTCTAACGTTTCAATAATGCCATGCGTTGGAGTGGTGTGACGTGTGCGGTTGCTGCATCGTACCGCCCTTTGCGCCGTCGTCGCCTTATGCCGCACGCGCTTTTTACGGCACATCATCGTTTGTTGCTACTTGCGCAGTCCGCCGCTGTTTGGAAATTGGGATTGCCAGACTGGACCCCGTCTAGTTCAACGAGCTTACCCGAGACAGGACGAGACTGCAACTGTCGCACATGGGGCGACGCACCGACCGGAAATGCCATCAGAACACACCTGGTTGAACTGTCCATGGCGGGGGAGTGGCGCGTTTGCGACCATGGCACGAGGCAACCTGCGAGTGACAGCGCACTCAAGTGTGGTCCGTGGGCTGTTAGTTCGACAGCCTCGCTCAAATCGTCAGCAAAACATGGGCGAAGCGTAGAGCAGTCTACCTGGACGTGCCATCAAAACGCAGTGCACTTGTTATCCGTGTCAACTGCGGTAGCCGCCGACCTTTCCATGGCAATGGAGAAGTGGCATGGTGTGCCAATGTCGCCATGCAAGTGCCTCGCAACACAACGTCCATCAAGACTGCACGTGCACGCATGCCACGCTCGCTCGACTACTGAAACACCGACATATCGATGTCATTCTGCACGATGCCAGCCTGTGTGGTGGATGGTACAGCACAGTCGACATGGATGTCCCGAGTCTTCGCTCGCTGGTGCCAGTCATGGGGATGCCGATTCGTCACTGGCCCTTGCGCATTGTCATCACAAGTTGCAACTCGACAAGTCGTAGGCGCGTCAAGACTGCATCCTGCGCATCGGACCTCCCATCGGTTCCGTGGCAATCAAGCGCCACCTAGACGACTTTCGATGCCCTCCGCATGCGACACAGACTTGCTGGTTGGACATGCGTACCACCGACACCCCCGTTTTTCTTATCGTCGGTGTATTGAAGCGAATCATCTCAACAACTGATGCACAATTTCTTGGATCAAGTCGACGAGGTTCCGGCATTGCAGAGTCGTGTTTAGTGCCGTCTAGAGCACCACTCAGTGAAGGACAAAGGCCCGTGGACGTACTTGCAATCGGTCGTTCGCGGGCCGGATGGAGCGTACTCGCAGCCATTCGTGGTCCTGCGCGCACCACTCAATCAGATCCAATTCCCCTCGATCGATGAAAACAAAGTGCCATGTGCTTACCTGCCCGTACTCTGAGCTCACTTCGACTTGCACGAACACTTTGTCGTCGGGCGCTCCAAACGTGAGCGACACATCCATTCCACGTTGAACGCACACAACACCTCTACACACGCCCGGAGAAGTAAGATCCTTTCTTCGTATAACCATGGCGTCGATCGGCATACTCCTTTGCGAGAATGTCCAAATGAGCTTGCAGCTGCGCCATGTTGATCGCACGAGCCAATGTCTCTCGCAGGAGGAACGGCACGTCGTTTTCGTCGACGGCGATTTCGATCAAGTCGGTAATGTCCAACGTCGGCGGAATAATCTAGGTCCATTTTGGGTTGATGGAGGTCTCGAGGTGGGGCGGGACCTGCACTTTTTCGAGCTTCAACGAGTCGACATCCACGACAAGGCGGACTTCGTAGGCACCCACTTGCACGTCAAAGTGCGTTGCTTCCACTCGCAACACGCGCAGCCCCGTCAGCTTCTCGACAAGCGATTGCATTTCCGAGTACCTGCACACCCGTTTATTGCGACAGCCAATATTTCCTCGAGCGATTCGAACCATCGCACCATTGCATCATGCTGTTCAGATTTGCACACTTCTTGGCTTGTTCGAGCACCTGGACGTCCCCGGCTTGCCGTGATGCCTGCAACCCCCGTGAGGACGAGATTGGGCATTTTCACACCAGACACGTACATCTTGGCGCAACTTGTCGAGGGTTTGACGGGCCTGTTGGACTTTGGCCGTCATCTCGAGCAACTTGTCGTTCAACGCGAGCTCTCTGTCCTGGTCATTCTTGACCCCCGCGGCCAACTGCTCCTCAAGTTGTGCACTTGACTGTTCGTTGTTGACTTGCACGTTGAACGCCATCTCGAGGACCGTCTTCTTTTGTATGTTGAGCTTCTGTAGCCTCTTCCACTCGTCGCGAGCCATCGCGTTGGCCACTGCGATGTCTTTGGCGTCTGTTTCGGCTTGTTGCAGCGTTTGTCGTGTGACCTCAATTTGATCTAGCGTGTCCTTGATCTGAGTTACCGCAATTTCGCGCTCGTGGCATGCAGCCCACAGCTGCTTCTTTCGCGCAAGCATGACCGCCCAGGACTCGGTCACGTTCATGTTCGCCAGGTGCTCAGTTAGGCTCTTCAACGACGATGTAGCTTCGATGTCGCTTATGACTTGGGCTTGAACTTGTCCGAGCAAAAACTCGCGCTCGAGCTACGACAGCGATGTTTCATTCAGCGAGTACAAGGACAAGTTCTACCTCTACAATATTTCGGCGCAGCGACTCCAGTTCATCCTGGTCAACGTTGTTTACATCATCGCGCAGGTAGTCCGACTTCAGCACCGACGGGACTTGGCTACAGCGCACCCATGAGACCTTCTTCAAGAGCCGTCAGTACCTTGCTCCGTCCATGATGTGGCGGCAAAGCGTACGTTTTAATGGGTGATTCGTATCCGGAATCCCAGCGGATTTATCCGGATATCCCCTGAAAGATTGCCAGCTCTCGAGATGGAAAGGCGAAGCGATGCCGGCTCGAGTGGCGCATCGCTCTACGCAAGCATTCCACTACTTCCACAACTGAAAGACTATGGATATGTACGATCAACTACATCAGGAAGCGAGAACGTGTCCCCGTCCACTGCTCAAGTCAACGGTACGTCCTCATGGCGTTTCAAGCGGAGACTACTGCATGCTGTCGTTCACAGGTATATCCGTGACCTACGAGGACCATGGTGGCGTGTGGCAATTCCTATCGCCATCGTTGAGCCAGAGGCTCCCCTTGCGTGGAATTGTTTGGAAGAATCACTTGCAGTCGAACAAGACTATAGACCGCCTGCATGTCAACTTCCAGCAGTTAGAACCGTCGTCGCCCGTGGGGGGAACGACCAGCCTAGTGCATTTGTTTGTGGTCAAATGCGAGGACATGGAATCGTACAAGGCAAAAATCAAGCCGTCTTTATCGTCATGGGTCGACCGCATGGCCCTCCAGGGCCACGAATGGCTCGTCCTGTACGTTCCGCTGGGAACGCAAGCTCCAACAACGTTGTCATCGTCGTCGGTGGCGCGAGGTCTAGGGCTAGGCGCGTTGTCTCAATCGTTTCGGGACTCATCCAAGGTCTACCGCAAGATCTTTGAACGCATGAAAAGCGACTTTGCCGACAACCGATCCGACAAGTCCAAGCTCGACCGATTTTGCAAGATCGACGTGCTCGACGGGAGTAGTGGGGTGCCTGGCCAGCAGCAGCAGCACGAAAGCCAGTGGTCGGAGGTCCTCATCAAACTCAAGGCGTGCATTATGGACGCGTTCGACGTGCGATGCGCAGAGTACGAAGACCAGTTGCGGGTGTTGGACGGCAAGGTGTGTTGCTCCCCCTTCTTCCGTTGCATCCCAGCTCCAACTAGCGTGATGCCTAGCGCGCGCTGTCAGGATGGGACTTTTGCTCGTTTCTTCAAGTCAAGGAGAGCTTGGCTCTGTTGTACATCCAGGCCACCTTGTACGATGATTCCCTACGACACGTACGATCTCGCTTCGAGACTACCCCGCGGCTCTTGTAAGTGCAGCATGATCGAGTAGTACGACGAGCTCGATGCTATCTATGCCGGCTTGGATAACCAGCAGCCCAATCATGTCAAGGTTGACCTGAACGACCCAATCTTCACCTCGACGCCGGTACGCTTTTCTCGATAAAGCAATGCACCGCGACGTCACCGCGGTGTAGTTTGACTTAGACATGACAATGGTGCGGATGAACATCGCAGTCAACACTGCGTCCGTCGTGCATGTTCGGTTGTACTTGTTTTGCCGGCAGGTCACAACTCTGTTCCTGATGGAGTCGTACGTCGAAGTGTGTCGCCGCGGGCTCCTCTTCATTCCGCAAATGGTCAAACTCATGAAAGCGCTCCTTCTCCCGACGGTTGTCGCGTCCGAATGGGCTGTCGGGGCCGCGCTCGCACTGTGCGTGTCATGTGAGCCCGAGACCTCCGGTAGTGCCGCAACACCGGCGTCAGCTATGGCCCTGGGCGATCTCCTCTACCTCGCTCGACGGTATGCAAAAGCGCTCGACCTCTCAACAACATCACCACTGTCAACCACGCCCTGGTATCCATTGAAATCCCGCGCTGGGCGTGACGAAATCACGCAATTGGCTGCGATCCAGTACGCAAGAGCCGGCCGCGTTCGACTGGCGGCATACCTGGCTGCCCAACAACACCCGATTGCAGGCACGGACGACGCAGCTGCGTCTCCACTTCTGGTACAACTACACCAGTACGAGAAAGACCAGTGGTGGATGCTCATGCATGAGACACTCGTTCGGTTCATGTCTGCGGAATTGAGCCAACGCACCCGACGCGTTCACAACATTGTCGATATGGCGTTGCACTGGCTCCACCTGGACGCCGCCGCCACTGTGGACGAAGGGTCCAAGACTGTGTGGGGGCTATGCCTTCAAGCATTGGCTCGAACCGCCACAGACACAGCGTCGTCCGATGTCGTCCATGTCGTGTGGACGCATGTGTTTGAGCCGTCGGTAGTTGTGGTCGAGGTATGGGTGAACGACTACACCAGTATTTCGCCGACTGAATCATCGGTGTAGTCGTCACCTTTCAGTGTGCGGCTGCAAGTGGTGGTGAAGAATGCCCTGTGCGTCGACGTCAGTGTCCAAGAAATCGTTGTCACGTGCGATCGCGAAGACATGGGCGACGACTGTTTGACGCTGGACGAGCTGCCTCGTCCAGCTCCTGGCCAAAGTTATATGCGGTCGTCCACTAGCGACATGATGGACACCATCGATAACTTTACTGCGTTCTTGGACTCAGGAGACAGCCACACGCCGTCCAAGGCGAGCCCATCCTTAGAGCGCACTGACACACAACTCGACGATCACGTTGTATCGTTGGCTTCAACGCCAGCGGTCCTACGTGCGCGCGCCCTGACGACCCTTGACGTCCTCGAGACCACACTACCCCACGGACGGTACAAAATCCGTCAACTGCAGTGTCAGTTAGCCCACGATGTGGTGGTCTTGCTGCCGTTGGACGAACCCGTGGCATTTCGTGTTGGTCCGGTCTACATGAGTTCCATGTCGGTCGACATTTTGTGTCCACCGATTTTATCCCCTCGGTCGTCCACACCATTGACCGTCGTCGTTCGACCGCATCAAGACATTGTCCGAGGCGGTTCATTGCGGCTGACTGTGCGAGGCGACCACTTTCACGTGTCGTCCTCAAGCCCAACGCCATCTCACCAAGCCAGCGACGCAACATCCTCCGTCATCGTGGTGCCGCTGCCGATATCGCCACCTCAACAAGCCGACATGACGTTCGAGTTTACTCTGGCATCGACTTGGGATGTGTGCGGCATGCTCGACGTCAGCGCGGTGTGCCACGCTATGGTTACGTCAAGCAGCTCCGACCAGACTCAGTACAACGTGACCTGTCACGCGGAGATGCAACTGGCCATCATGCCGCTGGTGCATGTGACGACGGCCGTACGCAGCTGCGCACGAGACTCGCTGCGTTGTGTCCAGGTCGAGATTGTTGCCAACGACAAAGTCGCCGTCGAAATCGACCCCTCCCGGTACGAATGGCGTGTCGATGTAAGCGGCGACAGTGCAAGCCTGGCAGCAAGTGCTCGGGGAGCGAACCTGCTCGCGAACCAGGCGCACGGTTGTCCCGGCCTCAGCGTAAGCTGTTTTCCCCTCTCTATGTCAGACGAGGCAATTCCGAACGACGACGTAGATTGTAGCCAACCCGAATGCCCAACTTGAGAAGATGGTACTTCAGCCGTCCGGAGTGTGCCACGCGGCATTCCTGGTCGACGTGACGACCGAGTTCCCTGGAGATGCTGCCGTTCTCATGACGGTATACTGTTCGCCCATTTGGAAAGACCCCCGGACGAATCATGGCGCCCTTCCACCGGTGCCGATCGACACCAAGGTATGTATTGGCCTGCCATCACCGTTGTATCGCCTGGTGTGTTCACCCGGTGTGTCGACGGCAACGCGCACAAAATGGACTGTGTTTGACGTGGAGGTGACACTCCCTCCCACCGCGACCACAGTTTGGATCGGCCTGGACGAAACCACCCAACGAAGCTGGGTGTGTGCAGGGCCAACCGTGCAGCGCGCGCGATCGACAGTGACCTTTCACTTGCGACCGCTGCACGTGGGGCGGGTTGCGTACCCATCCTTTTCGCTGAACACGCGCGATCCAAGTAACGTCACTTCCGCAGTCGCTGCCACTCTCGTGCACCAACAGCCACAAGATTCCTATATCCTTGTCGTAGCTTAAGAATAGCCACCAGGAGGGATGTGAAGCATTCGTGTTACAGTAGATCCTTGAGCCGTTGTCGACAGCTTCCACCGATAACATAACCAGCGACTACATATCTCGGCTGCACCGAAACACGTCCATGCTCGATGCGTTCGTCGTGTACGTCGGCATGACAACGACGCGATGAAGAATTGATGCTGTGATTTGGTTGGCCGAAAATTGATTCGTACTTCGAAGTATTAGACCTCCTGAAAATTGATAATGTTTACTATAAGTGCATACACATAATACATACTGTCCGTTTGGGCAAAAGGAATCCTTTTTTTCAAACTTCCATAACTTTTACACCACTAGGTTTTTTCTTAATCCCAAGATATATTCAAATAGAGGAGTTTAACCTGGGGTGCGTGAGGGGTTTTATTTTACCTCCAAAACATTTATCC